ATTATTATATTCTGTTTATTTGTTTTTCTTCAGCGACAGCTCTTCAGGAAACGGTCCCAGGAATCAGCGGCGGAGTGAGTCCTCGCCTCTGTGCTGTCTCTGCAGTCACATGACAGCGGTGTGACCCTCCGGACGCCCCGCTCCTCTCTCCTCCCTCTGCCCGTCACACTCGTCTGTTTTCCGGCTGAGGGTCTGGGTGTGTGTCGGCGTCAGCTTCCATCACAACCCGCCGCAGGACCCACGCGAACATGGCGGACATCACCAGGGAGCCTGCACCGGAGCGCACCGACTTCCAGGAGCTGGAGGAGGCCGAGGACCTGTTCCCGGAGCCGGCGGCCGCACGGGAGGAGGTGAGCGGGAGGAGAAGGAGGAGATGACGGGGAGGCCGAGGGGGGAGAGGCGGTCAGGGCGTGAAGCCTCCGGCTGAGCGCGGAGCGACGGAGCCGTTAAATCTGTTGTTTTGTGAATGAGGTTTGGTGCGTGACTTCCACTCTGTCGTTGCGTGAAACCGCGAACCCGCAGTCACGGTGTCCCGCACAGCTACGGGAGCCGCGGGGGGTCATGTTCGCGGTGTAAGACGCAGAGTGGGCGTGTCCCTGTCCGTCAGGTGACAGTCACACAGGTGAGGGTGGTGCCTTCAGGACAGGCTGGGAAATAACAACCACGCAGAATCATTCAACACGTTTCGTCTCGAAACACAAAGTGAAACATGATCGTGTTTGTGTCACAGTTTTATTACAGCTGGAGTGAAACGTCAACACTTTCTGATCCACCTTCTTCACACGCTGCTTTCAGACTGACCACTGGTTCCTCCTGATTCTCTCAGATCCTCCTGATTCTACAGAGTCAGAGCGACCTCTCCGTCAGACTCAGGTTCAGTGTTGATGACGTTTCTAACACACACGAGAAGACACCGGCGAAGACGTCAAGAGAGCGTCTGTTGATAAGAGACACAACCACGTGATCTCTGCAGCAGCATTCACACGTTACTTCCTGACGCGGCTGCTTCACCTGAACACTCCGGAGGTTTCTGTGTTGTTGTGAATGCGTCTGAGCAGCGAGTGAAACTCCAGACGACGTCCGGACCCAGTTCTCCGGACACCGTCTGGACGTTACTGTAGGAAGTGAAGTGAAATGTTTCTTGAATTGACTTTGGAAAACGTTTCTCGGTTGTTGCGACCTCACTTCCTGCTTCCTTCCAGGAAAAAAAACCGAAGCGAGCGGTTTTTACTTGTTTTGACAGTAAAGTTTCAGTTCCTGGTGGAAGACGGACTTGAAAAGTGAAGACAAGGCTAATGTCAACGCTGCTGGCGTCTTTATTCATTACATTTACATTGTGCAGCATGAATGTCATTATGACAAGTTAAAGTAAACGTCAAGATGCAGAACCAACGGTCTGATATCTGAGGCTCCTTCGATCTCCAACTGTTCCGTGACAGTTTCCAGGTGGAACTTGTTTCCTCTGAATGTGTCTTCGTTTCAGACGTCTTGTCCAATCAGCTGCGATGTCCAAATAAACTCGTATTAAACAGACAGTGACCCAGTGGACTCTGAAGTTCTGGTGTCACTTTATTAGGAACAGCTGGTGCAGTCCTGCTGTGACGTCCTGAATCTTCTCATCGTCACTCTGTGTTGATTCCATCATGTTGGACGACGTCGTCTGAGCTGCTGCTGTTGTTCCCAGAACAAATTAATTTCCTCTACTCGTGTCCTCATGTCCCCTCCATGACTTCCTGCTGCTCTCTCTTTTACTCTGGTGACGACTGTTCAAAATGTTTCAGTCACAGTTTTCTGGATCTTTCACAAGATTCAGCTTCTGTGTTTACACGGAGACGAATATTTCACTTTTTTTCCAAATCTGACAATATTCAGAATAACACAATAACAGTTAATCATTAAAATCATTAAACTGGTTTAAATGATAAGCGTCAAGTTAATTCATATTCATATTTCCATCAATATAAATAAAAACAAAACCAAACTTGTTTTAATTTAAAATGTTATATAAACAGCTTTTTAATGGTGGTTGAATGGATACACTGTGTATGTGTGTGTGTGTGTGTGTGTGTGTGTGTGTGTGTGTGTGTGTGTGTGTGTTTCCTCTGACCTCTGTGTGTTTGCTGAGTAAGGAGGGAGGAAGCTCCTCGTTATCATCACTCACTTCCTCTCGTCTTTCTGTCCTCTCAGCTGAAAATCTCTCTCCTCCTGGACTCCAGCTGTTAGTGAGACCTGGAGTTCGTCTGTTCAGGTGCTTTCAGTTTCAAACATTCACCTGGAGAAACTAAACCACGTGTTCACTACCAACATCAGCACAAGACTTTAGATATATATTAAATATTAAATATCTAAAGTCATGTGCTCAGTTACTTCATGACGGCCGCTTGTATCTGTGATCTCATTCTTTCGCTCACTGCCCAAAGCTCATGAACATAGTTGGTAAACTTTGTTTTCTGGCTCAGCTCTTGTTCAACACATTTCGGTTCCTGGTTCCTCAGACGTTCCTCAGACGTTCCTCAGGCGTTCCTCCTGCTCAGACCTGACCTGAGCACAAGGCTTTAGATATATAACGTATATTAAAGTCATGTGCTCAGTTACTTCATGACGTCCTGACCTGTACAGTTTGTGTGGTTCTTTTTTCACCGGATCAGGAGTTTAAATGTCTGACGATGTTTACGATGACAGAGCTGGAGGTTGTGATTATGTTTGTATATAATGAATTCTTTATATAAAAATCCATCTCATCGAATATCACTTAACAAAACCCATGGGCTGGTGTGTGTCTGTGTGTGTGTTTGGTTCAGTCAGGACCAGCCAGTCTTCCTGCTGAAGACATCAGCACCAACTCAAACGGACCCAAACAAGATTCACTCTTTGATGACGACCCCGAAGACCTGTTTGCAGGTAAACACACACACACATGCACACACAGACGCACACACAGAGACACACACACTAACACACTGTGTTTGTGTTGTCACAGAGGCCACAGAGGAGGTTTCGTTGGACAGTCCAGAGAGGGACGTCCTGTTGTCCGACGGTCCGTCCCCCGCCATCACCCCCATCACCCCCCCGACCTCCGTCATCACCCCTTGCATCGGTCATGATGACATGTTCACACACTCCTCCTTTGATGAGGTGACTGCACACACACACACACACACACACACACACACACACACACACACACACACACACACACACACACACACACACACACACTGCTAGTTTTATCTCCTCCATCGGATCCTTTCAGGTAAATGTTTGAAGGAGATTTAATGAACTAAATAATTAGTTTGGCAGATTTTAGCTTCAGGCAGATTCAGGGACTTTTTACTTGATACCAGAATAAACAATAATTTTCTTATTCCTTTTTACACTGTTGTTTACTTTATTTGATATGAACTGTAACTTTCATCCTTTTGTTGACAGGTGCTCGGAACAGAAAATGTAAAAATTGAGACTTTGGTTTAGGGCACAGGAAAGATGTGGGTTAGAAATAAAGTCTGTAAAAAGTGTTGACGTGTTGCTTCACCCTCAGAACAGTTTTGTTCCTGTTGTCTGCAGATCGAAGAGGAGGAGGTCGACGATTCATTCGATATGCAGATATCAGTGTCTGACCCTGAGAAAGTTGGTGAGTAAACTCTGATTTCACATCCCATCAGCCCTTGCTGCTGTTTCTAAAGAGAATAAACTAATTGTCTGTGATGTTTTACATCAAAGTTTTTGCATTTTCAGTTTAAAAGCAGCACCAGACGTTCGTCTCTTAGCTTCTTGACTCTTTGAGACAAAAGTCAGGAGAATAATTGTGGTTTATTAACATGTTCACTGAGCTGAGTGCAGGAGTCTCATTACTGACAGTCCCTGAATGTAAATATGAGCAGGGGACAGTAAAGGAGGATGGTAAATAAAACTGTTGAACACTTAAGAACCAGTCGATCCAGTTTCTGAGCCGAGTGTCGCAAGCAGCGGCTGAGAAAATTATTATCTCATCTGTTAATATTCAAATGTTTAAAAGAATCGAACACGTCCAGAGGAGTAACAGTCACGTGTATATTTAGAACTAATACAGAATAAACACTGGACATGTCTGAGTTTTACTGCACAGAGTCAACAGAGAGAGAAGGAAGGTGAAGAACAAAAAGAAGGAAACAAAAGAAAAGTAAAAAAAGTATAAAAGTCAGATGAAAAAGTTCTGATGGTTAAATTATTGTGATTGTGTTTGTTCCAGGTGATGGGATGAATGCGTACATGGCGTATAAAGTGACGATCAAGGTGAGAGTTCTTACTTCTATTCTATTAAGTTACGTGATGTCAGAAATGTTTGCTCATTTAAATTCTCTCCCCCCTCCCCCCCTCCAGACCTCCATCTCTCTGTTCAAACAAGATGAGTTTTCAGTAAAAAGGCGTTTCAGTGATTTTCTGGGTCTGCACAGTAAACTGGCCTCGAAGTATCTGCACATAGGATACATAGTGCCTCCTGCACCAGAGAAAAGCATTGTGGGTAAGTGAAACCACTGCCAACCACCCCCCCTCTACTGTGAGGACACAAACATCTGTTTTCATAACATACGTGTTGCTGTCTGTCTGTGTGTGTGTGTGTGTGTGTGTGTGTGTGGATTAGCTGCGTCTGTCTTCATCCTCTATGTTCATCAGTTATGTTAATGAGCGTCTCCTCGTCGGCAGGAATGACCAAGGTGAAGGTGGGAAAGGAAGACCAGTCGTCCAACGAGTTCGTGGAGAAGAGGAGGTCGGCACTGGAGAGGTACGACCTCCAGAAGACACACAGACACACACACACACAAACACACAGACACACAAA